ACAAAAAGTAGCTAGTTTCCATTATTCTGAAGAAATACAGAAAAAGGAAAAAAAAAAGAAGCATTTTATTTAGAAGTTCAATGCTAGAATAGATAATTGACAGACTGACAGTACCTTTAATCAAATGCGTATGGGTCATCGACATGGGGATTTAGAGAACCTTCTGAAAACAAATCACCAATGTTTGAAGCATTTGGATGACTTCCCTTAGTTCCCTGCATAAGAAATGTATCAATAATGAGCTTCTCTCATGTCAGAAAGGAATCACACTGTGATTTAAACAGTAAGGCATATCCTGATACAAGTGGTCAGTACTATGAACAGTTAGTCTATTTTATTAGCTTCTTATCTCTTTCTCTTTCCATTTCTCAGAAGTCAGAAGTCTGCCCCTAAGTCCTCGTCTTACGTTAACCAGTCTACAGTTGCACCCAATGAGAATGTGCAGAAGCAACTGATGCTAAATTTGGTCTTCAGCATTTTCTGAGGGTTATTATTTCATTTGTTGCAGGTCATACCTCTTTTAATGAGGAGCTGGAATTTGTTTCCTCTATCATTTCTAATTGCCTCTAGCCATCCACCAAGAAACTACTCATATAACCAAATCCAGCAAGAACAAAAATTTCAAGTCTTCTACGCCTAGCCTATGATTCTTCTAGCAATGTCATTATTAAATGCAATATAGTCGGAATTCTAAAATATGGGGAAAGGTATTCAAGATGTAAATTAAAAGTGTTGATCCCCTAATGGTTTAGCCAGTTTTCTGTCTCTATTTTCTCTGCCAAGCATAAAATGAATCTTCAAGTAGTTATGTTTAGAGCAAAAGGTACAATTGGTTTGAAATATGCTATGATCCAGGACATATTCTTTAGCTTTTGAGTTACCTGACCAAATTCTGGGGTATTGGCTCTTGGTGTCCGCACCTTCTTATGTTTCTGGATCCTGATGTAAGGTGAGACAAGGGAAGTCAGCATGAGTTGTCTGTGTATATACACATATAATACAACACTATTGACCAACCTATATCACATTAGGTTCTTTACAAGATGTAGGGCTTTTCATGGACTCAATATGGTGTCAGGTACATACCTCAAACAAGACTGTACTTTTCATTTTTCTTCGTTTGTAACTGTTCTCCATTTGTAGTTTCAACTTCATATTCATGGTGAGTTACCTGCCATGTCATAAGGTAAAGACTAAGGAGTTAAAGGAGGATGTGTCAGACCCAGTAGCCAAATAAAATATCAAAGATGAATGTTTGACTTATCCTTTTTTCTTTTCTTCCCAACCTAATTGGAAAATGGAAAATAATAAAGGCAGCAGACTTAGTATTGTTACCTTCTTATTATGCTTAGAAATGCTCATTACACTTCCTGTGTTGGTATTTTCTACTTTCTTCAACATTTTGACACTGGTGTTTGTGTTACACCTGGAATGGTGATTCCTGTAGACAATATAAAATGACATTAAGGTTCCTTGTATATTATGGTGATTCTTATAAACAATATACAGAGCAATCATGATGACTTGTATAACATGTATTAGCATTTAGCAAGGGAGTCAAATTATTCATTGCTTTTGTTACCTTCTCTTCATTCTCTGGCCCCACCAGGCATCTTGAGTTCTTCTCCCGATGCCAGAATCTCTCTTCTTGATCTAAGAAATGGAATAATCCTTGAAAGAAAGGAGTTTATCAAATTGATGGCAATTTTAGAATGATGTGTTATATACTACACATGTAATTACATTTTGATATATGCTTATTGAAAGATTCACATGTGAATCCTACCCGGGGCAACCATACAGAGTATGGTTTCTGACTACAAATAGCTATAACAAGAACTAGAAGATCTATGTCTGCCTAGTATCTTGCTCGTCCTTGTGTATATGTGTTTTCTGTGTATGTTTTGGTGTATTTTGCCTGTGTAGAAGTAGAATGTCTCAGCATAAGCCCTAAGCTATGATTTTGGCCGCCACAGTGGTATTGGTGACATACAAGAGCTTTGATTCTACCATTCTTCATTACTCTTCATCCACTAGTGCTTCCCTTTCCAAAAGCACAGATTAAGTCAATCATGCAGAGAAACAGATCCAGCAAAGCTCAATACACAATGAAAATTAAATCCAGTCAATGCCAAAACTTAAAAACTATCTTCAGAAGTACAAACATGATTCAATGAAATATTTTGGTAAAAATGATCATTGCCAAGCCTAACTATAACATATCGAGCAATGGAGGTTTCAGTACTTACACATTTGGACAGCATGAAGTTGTTTGTGTGACAGTTATAGGCATTACATGTTCCACAGGCAAGTACGGAGATGAGGATATGAAGAACATTTCCAAAGGAAACAAGCCAACCTTTTTCGAATCCACTTATTCCTCGTTGTGTGGTTTGTCACCCATCACCTGCCACCTCGTCAGTTGGCAATAGAGCTCTCTGCCTGCCCTCCTGGCAATATATTTACCACAAAGTTCCAGAGCACATATAATATACCATTTTAATCATAAAAGGTGAAGGCAATAACCGTACTTTGGGACTTCCTGGAAGACTTAACTACTTTCCCGATAGCCTTTTGGTCACTCATCTTGAAATAGACTACCTCAAAGCTTTCATCGGAACTTCAATTGTTCATTCCTATAGAAGAGTGGTTTTCTAGATCAATTCTTAAACTATTAGCAAAATTTAAATATACATTCGATACTAATATCAACAATTTCCAAACTTTAACCCTTAACAACGTAAATACCTCTCTGAGTTCATCTTCTGCCTGAAGTTGGGCACGTTTTAGCTCCTCATTATGTCAGCTCTGAGATTTAGTTCCTTTCTATCCTGCTTTTGCTGAAATCGAGTGACCTACAAGACAGGATTGAGATTTAGAATTTTATAGCCTGCACTATCATAGCTATGCACTAATGTATTATAAATTTATAATATGAAATAACAAACTTGATCAGTGTATTACAGCATAACAGCAAGAACTAGCAATAGCAAAGCTCACATATGCTGAAAGAGAATAACAAACAACTTGATCTTAAGTTGCACTAGTTTCCATGCCATACTAAAGCAAAATTTCCTCTTGAATGCACAACAAGTGCAGCCTTGATTCTTCTTTGCACTCTGCAACCTTCTGGTCATATCTCTTCCATTTCTCCTACAACTTTGTCAGCCTGAAAGTTAAAGTAGGTGAGAACCACTATTTGCTGCATATTGCAACATACAGCAATCATAAGCTAAACTTCTCTTTTTCCAGTTTAACAATCTCGTGCTTCTCCAGGTCTTACTTCCTTCATGTCATTAATAGCATGACCAAACTCCTCAGAGTATCAGTCTGATTGTCAAAATCTTTAAGGATTCATATAACGTGGACAGAAAAATGATACCTGATCATTCCTCTGAGATATCTCTTTCAAATGTCTAGATAACTCTAGCTGCTTACTTTCTAGCATCACATCATTGCTTCCTCGCTTCCACAAGTTTTCTTTCAGCAGCTATCAGCATTGCCTGATTCTGCAGAACCAAACAGAATCTTGAATTTATATGAAAGCCTGTATAAGAGTTTGAAATTTACATATTCTGTAACTGTTTCCTAAACCTCTGAAATTTGAACCTCCAGCTTCTTACCTCTATCTTTATATTGCAGGATAAGCTGTTCTTTTTCCTTTAACATGAACTGCAGATGACCAACTTGTTTCTCCAAAGAATCTACCTGCTCCGCATGTTTCTCACACTCCCTTTCCAAATTAGCAATTTCTTCTGTTTTTCCCAGTATCTCTACTTGCATTTTCTCTGCATTATCTTTGTTCTCCATTTCCAATGCTGAAATTTTCAGCGATAGATCTTGCTGTAGGACATAACTAAAGAGGCTTATATTAGCAACAAGGCTAGCTCAAATAGAGAAAATATGAATTAAATTAATATTCAAACCATTTTATTCTCATATGATCTTGAACTTTCAGACAGCGTGTCAATCTTCTCCCCCAGTTTTGAAACCAACTTTTCTGTTTCAATCTTCTTTAGGACCAGACTTTCTGCTTCTGATTCCAACTTCCGGATTCTCTCTCCGGCTAAATGGCATTCTTCTGAAAGCTGGGCCATAACAGACTCTTGGGCTTTCTGAAGGTCGATGATCTTACTATTTAACTTCTGGTTAACCAATTGTAATGCATACCTTTCCAATTTATCATGGAGTTGTTCATACTTCTTTTTAGCATGCTTAGCAGCAAGATCTCTCTCCTGTTGAACTAACTTAAAGCAAGTGTCATAGAGAGAATTTAGTTCATCAAACTTGTCAGTAAAAGCCAGATTTTGTTTATCCAATCCAACCAACTGCACAGCGAACACTGCAACAAAACCTTCAAAATGATCTCCTCGGGAGATATTGATAGCTTTTTAGCAAATTCATTATTGCTCAATAGAAGATCACTTTTCTGTTTCTCCAAGTTCTCCTGAGTTGTTAGCAAACATTTTATCTCATCCTCTTTTGATCTTAACTCAAGCTGAACTTGTCCCATTTTAGAGTTCAAACTCTCTGCAGGCTGCTTATTTGCTGCTACAGTTGCTTCAAATTTCTTTATCAGATCATCTGCATGTAATAGATTCCACAAGGATGCTTTTATGAAGCAACCGCTAGGATTCTGATGGCCAAGTGTTATACCTCCTCAAAATCAATGAACATACTTTATGATTCTAATAATGTTTTCTTTGGCTGCAACATGTCAGACAAGCTCACTTTAAGCTTTGTAAGCACGGAATGTTTCATTTCTTAACAAAGATTATTTATATCTGTACCCTTCTAGTGGTTTCGGTAGAATCTGTTCCTAGATTGATAAAAGTAATTTATTTCTGTAATGCTGCGAAAGAATGAAATTTGAGGTATGCATTTTACATATTAATTCATAAACTTCAAAGTTCAAACATCTTCCAAAACATTAATCTAGAAACACATCAGGCTATGCATTCATGCAAAATCATCTGCTAAGTGATGCAACCACTTATTAGTCTTTCAATGTAAATGAGAAAGCCTCTCTAGAAAGTCAGCCATGCACTACGCTCACCTTTTTCCTCAATGAGGTTTAGGGTTTTGTGCGTCTCTAAAGAATAGGTTTCGACTTTTAGAACAGAACTAGATTTGGAAGTTCAAATATATTTAAGGAAGGTTATAACATCATTATCATTTAATTTTAAATTATTCAAAGGTTTATAGTTCTAATAGTCTTAAATTTAATATTAGAAATAACTTTTAAAATTCTTCATCAATTTAATAAAATTTTTAAAAATATTTTTCATCTTAAAAGTATTTAAGAATCTCATTTATTTTTTTCAAGAAGCTCCATCGTTGAAAATTTTTAATTATTTATTTTTTGTTAAAATTTTCTTCATAAAAAATATATCTAAATATTAGACTATTTAAGCTAAAATTAAAAATATTTTTTCACTTAAAAAATGTCTTAAATATTACAATTACTAAAAATTTTATCTTCAAAATTTATTTTTTATTTTACAAGTTTCATTTTTAAATTTTTCACTATTTAGATCTATTTAAAAATATATTTATTTTATTTATTCATCACTTGCTTATTAATCCTTAGAAAAATGGTATGACAATTATTTTTTGAATTCTCATCTAAAATTTTCTACCATTTAGATTTAATTTAAAAAAAAAAAATGTTTCACCTAGAAATCTTATGAAACTTCAACCATTTGTAATTTTTCTTAAGATTTTCTCTTTGGATAATTACCAAATATTTTCAAACAAATTTTTAAGTTATATTTTTTAATTTTAATTTAGAAAAGAATATAATTACTTTTATTAAAATTTATCTAAATTATTTCACAATTTGAGTTAAATTTAAAGAAATTTTTCATCTAAAAATTTTTAAAAAAATTTACCATTTAAAATTTTAAGAATCTTATCATTGGATATTGTAATCTTAAATTTTATTAAATTTATTTTTATATATTTTTATTTTTTTCAAAAGTTTTAAAAATAAATATTAATTATTGATGTTAAAATTTTATCTAAATTTTATCTTCATTTAGATTAAATTTAGAAAAATCTTTCATTTAAAAATTTTTTAAAAATCAATAATCATGATTTTTATAATTTCATTGTCAAATTAATATTTATATTTTAAACCTTCATCCCTAGAAAAAAAATAATAAAATTTTTATAATTAAAAAATTATTTAAACTTTTTATTTAATTTTATATACTCTGTCCATATCAAATATAAAAATGTTTTTTTTTTTAATTATACATAAAATAAAGAAACTACAAAGTGACTACAAAGGCAAATAAAGAAAGATAAAAAAAAAAAAATACCAAAGTTTAACTAAAACGGAGGCAAGCACGTGGGTCTTTTGTAATAAAGCTAGCCCAAAACCAGTTTGGAATTTAGTCTTTTTTGCAAGTTAAATCTGCCGTGTCAAATCTGTTTTACCTTGCATTGACTTGTCTTCTCCAAACTTTATACGGTACCAACAAAGGTCAAGGATGCCAGAATGAAACATCTCTCCCCTTTCGTTATTTTATTCTTTGCTTCTAAAAACAAGTCAACAGTACCGTCCCTTTTACCAGATTGAAACTTTTAACATCCAAGCCAGATTGCCATTGCCATTCTTCCTCCCTTTATGTCCAGAATTCTATGAAAATCTCTGAATCAAGAGCATGTAATTCCTTTCTATTTGTTGTCTACTTTTGTTGTCCCCCTTTTCTATTGATTCTTCTGTGTTATTTATATGACTAAACCTAGAAGAATTTCAAATCAATCATATTCGATTAGTATTATCATAAAAAAATTAAAATTTATCTTCCACAAGTTAAATTTCATTTCAATTTTAATAAACAACCTTATCACTACCACCCACTCCCTCCCATTGAGTCTTCACCATTCAAAAATTTTTTAATTAACCAGATAATGATAAAAAAATGAAATTAAACCAGAGATAAACCACAAATATTAAAATAAATAAATAAAACAAATAAAATAGTAAATAGGATAAATACAAAATAAAGCAAAAAAAATAAAATAAATAAAAACCCTACAATTGAGCTTGGATCGAGCCTAAGCCACGAAAAACCTCAGATAAAATGAGTTGTTTACGACTGTTCCTCTTTACGTATTTTTGTTAAAACAAGAATTATACAAAGATATAAACATTCATTACATCCGAACGTGACTTACCAGCAATTACAAAATCTCAAAACTTTAAAGATTTACAACTTAAAGTATTCAAGAAATTTGTAATCCAACAATCTACGTTTCAAATTGAGACTTAAGAATTCACAATTTGAGTTCAAAAAATCACAATTTTAAAATTCAAAGGTTTGCAATTCGAAAATTTGTAAGACTTTCATATTCACAAGAATTTTCAGTTTCGTAAGAATTTTAAATTTTGTAAAAATTTTTCAGCTTCATAAGGATTAAAGATATGCAAAACTTTAATTTTTGTGAGATTTCAGTTTTGCAAGAATTTGATTCTCAAAATTTTAGTTTCGCAAGAATTTATATTTTAAAATTTTCATTTTCACAAGAATTTAATTTTTCAGATTCGCAAGAATTTGATTCATAAGGATTTAAGATTCGCAAGTTTTTAGATTCATAAAATTTTCAGTTTCATAGAATTTGATTCTCAAGAACTCATATTCGCATTTGAGAAATTCATATATAAAGTTTTAATTCTGAGATTCAAATCAAAATTACAAGGCTTACATCCAATATTTAAAGATTCACATTCTTAAATTCTGGAAGATTTACACCCAAAAGATAAAAATTTTTTTAAAAACTTTAGGGACTCACTTATAAGATTTTAACAATTCTCATTAAAAAATTTTGTGTCTCACATCCGATATTCCTCATTAAAAATTTTAGGGTTTCATCCAAAATTTCAAATATTCAAATTCAAAAAAACTTTGGAGATTTATACAAATTTTCAAGATTCCCATTCGAGTTTCAAAAATTCACATTTGATAAATTTTAGAATTTCATATACTAAAATTCTAGAAATTCACATAAAAAAACTTCAAAATTCTCATTAAAACTCAAAGCTTCTAATTCAAAATTTTTAAAAATTATGCTCAAAAGTCTTACAAAAATTTTTTTCAACATTAAAAATGCTTTTTAAAAAGCTCCACCACTTTAAAATTCTAAACGTTTTCCTTATAAAATATTTTTCATTCAGATTCATACTTTAAACCATGATTCAAATGTTCATTGCATGATGTGAATGCATGACCAAACAAAAATTCAAATATTATGAACATGCACTGTTCAAACAACAATGCAAACACAGTGCATGGAATGTATATGTCACTAACATCAATTTCATGAAATTTCAATTAATTGTAGTACTAAGGTTCTCAAGACTTCATCATCTTTTCTTTTTAGCATCTCAGCACTAACCATTTCAAAATAAATTCTATCAATTGATCCACATTACTTCTATCATCTGAACATAACTCATAGGTTATGTCGACTAATCCATTATCATAATCATTACTTGGTTTCCCTATTTGCCTTTTCAACTCATTTTCTCTGTTTTTTCCATCTTTTTTATTTTATTTTTGCCCTTATCATATTGGATTTCTTTTTAAAAGAATGCATAAATCTTTTATAAATATTATCATTCATTCAATACCATTTCAATTAATGACAAATATAATGCAATCATATATTTTCTCGATTTATTCTAGAGATACAAAAATAAGAGAGCACAAGATGAATTAGAAAAAAGCTAATAAATACAAGAACAAGCCTGGTACAAAACAAAATAAGTAAAGGAACAAATTCAAAGCATATCACTAGGGATGATATTTGAATGGTGTAACAATGTCCAAACAATGAATATTCAGACAATTCTTAATGTTAATCCAAAATATTTTTTAAAAAACTCATTCTCGGCTTAGATGTTTTACTACCTAAATCACTTTTTTGGGTTTTCAATTTAAGTCTTTCTTTTCTTTCCTTTTTTTTTTTTTTCATTTTTCACTTTTCACTTTTCACTTTTTCATTTTTTTCATTTTTAATTTTTTATTTTTTTCATTTTTAATTTTACTTTATCTATTATTGATATCTTTCATACATCAATCTCTAAAATATAATATAAGAACATAACATGATTCCATTACTCCATTACAAGCATGTCTTAGCTCAATACGTGATTATTCAATTCGAGTATTCATATTTAATCAAAATAAACTTTTAAGGGTTGTAATATAGGCTATGATAAGGGATCATGAAATAAATGGATAAAACAGGCTTTGAATATATGTTTAAAAAAGTTCAAACCAAATGATCATTTCTCTATCATATGATGTAACTTGGCAATTTACCCCATTCCATAAATTTTTCTTATTCATCTTATTCCTCATAAAAAGATTCTCATTATTTTACCCTAAGTCATTTGTGGCATTCATTTTTTTTCTTTTTTTTTTTTGTTTGTGTAAAAGGGTTCTTATTTTTTTTTTTTACATTTTTTTCTTTTACTCTCTATCTTTGAAATCTTTTGTAATCTTTTGCTTCTTTCCTTTTCTAAGTAGGTTCTTCCCAAAATTTATCTCCTAGTATGAAGGGTGATCCTTGGTTGGGATTTTTTAGAAAAAAAAATCATAATAGACACAAAATGGGTAGCAATGGATGGTTTATGAATGGTACAAAAAATAATCATTTTTTCATCTCAAATGTAAACACTTTCCTTGAAAACCCATTTATGAACAAAATTAAATTATAGATGCTTCCAAGATATTTTCATTTTGTTTTTT